TGGAATTTCCTGGTAGGCCAATAAGTGATAAATATTAAATATTTAAAATAATATATATGCGGAAAAGAAATAAAAGAGCCAAGAGATGGCGTCACAATACAAATGAAAATAGAGCTCTTGGCAATGAAAGTAGAACAATTATTGTCGTCCATTAAGTTATCCGTCACTATCTTGGCTTAAATATACATACCAAAGCGAAAATAAGAACATTAAAAATATTTTATGTCATAATAAAAAAGTAATTTCTTTTTATAAATTTAATTTAATGCAATAAGAAAATAGGGGCAACTTTATTATTACAAATTATCGTGATTTAGATCACTAGTGAGTATTCTTTCTACAAAGGCCAATTTGGAAAAAGTAAAACATTCACAAACTGCATTATAAACATCAGTAAAAAGTATTTATTTTTCATAACTTAATTTATCTATTTTATTCAATAGAATAAAGTTCTTGAGAAAATTGTCACTACTTTTTAGTGATTAATACCACAGCTTATTTGGGAGTAAGATTTCTGCTTTTATGTAGATTTCTTTATATTAATATACTCGGGATTCCGGAAATGAAACCATTTTCGTAATCCTTGGAAATACAAGAACGATTTATCTGCATTTTTTCGTCATACTATTCATTTGAAGAAAATTCAAATGTGTTCTATTAATTAGAATCAAGTGCATTTGCAAATCTATACTAATATTATAAAGAGGTAATGTTTGTATGTATGTCTGTATGTATGTATGTAAGTTTTTTGCAGCAGGTAATCTCCGAAACTACTCATCCTATTTCAAAAATTTTTCACCAATATTTAGAATAGAACCTCACGGTGGACATAGGCTGTATATTATTCCGATAAACATTCATATAAATTAAAAAATATAATCTAGGTTAAGGCTTTTATGTCCAACAGATGGCGCTACAAGTACGACGCCCTAAGTTTGCTTTTCTGTGAGGCATTATGCTTTTCTGTGAAAATGAACTAAAACAGATCATCTTCTATCTATCTGTATAAATAAAAATGTAATGTTCGTTTGTTCCTACCGATTCCTTTAAAATTTTGACACAACGCTGCATTCGAATACGCACGAGTTTTTATATAAGATACATGTCGAAATTCAACCCCACTGAAGGGAGATGGTTAGGATTAAGGCTTACGGTAAAAAACTCTGCTTCTATTTATAGTATTTTAGATGCGGGTTTTTGCGTTTTTCATTGCGTTTTAATAGGGTACGTCAAGAGAATGTACACTAAGAAGAAATTTTTCGAAAAATTTCCCCCCTCACGGAGGAAGTGTTTTAAATTTATAATAGATACATTTTGAGCCACAACAACGCGTGGCTCAAAATGTATCTATTGAAATAAGCGACGTCATCAGGATTAGCAACGATATCTACCGGCAGCACTTAGGGGGACGCTCTCAACATCAATCAGCCTGCAGATAACCCAAGCAACTCTCAACGAGTCAACAGCACTCATCACTAATTGGACATTCCTCGTCATTTTTTTCTACACAGTCTTGTATGTAACGCGTAAACTGGCTGGCAATTATGTGCCCATGTATCCCCCCACTAATGTATGTACCTCTCCTAACACTGGCTGGCATCTTGTGCCCATGTACTACTCTACCAATGTATATACCATTCCTAAGCACTGGCAGGCAAACTTGTGCCCATGGTCGCGATTTCATCACATCTGGTTGGCAATCATACGCCCATGTCGCGGCAATTACCTTGACTCATGTTTATTTTTCACTACTTGAATTGTTTAGCATGCCTAAATACTCCTGTAATATATTTTTGATTTTATAATAAAGGCTTTTTAAATCTGTTAAAAATTTATTAGCATGTTTAGTATTTTTGAAAAATAACACATAAAATGTTTTTTTTTTAATAATATAACTTATTATTACTTAATAAATAACAACGAAAGCAAAAGGTAAACAATTTCCATTATAAATTTATGCAAAAATACAGTTCTTAAAAAAATATTGTAGAGTGTTCATTTCGAAAAACGTTCAAAGAGGTGACCTCCAAGAATATATTTTTTAACACGTTTTCCGAAACTCCGCACTGTGCTCTGCAAAATTCGTGGGTCAATTGAAGTGCAAGTATCAAGAATACGTTTAAGTAAAACTAGTAAACGTATGATAACGGTGTGAAAGACGGAAGAGAAACGAAAGCAAAAGTTTTATCTGTGAAAATGTTGTATTTATATTGTATGTTTATTAAATATCAATATCTAGTTACTTCCACCTACCCACAAGGAAGGAGGAAGTGGCTTAATTTCAATGCAGTTTAAAAGAATCCTCTAAAATAATAAACTTTCTTATAAGACCTCTTTTCAATTTAATGTATATTTTAGGAAATGTTTGCAATTAGTATTATAAATAGGCATTACAAATAGATCACTCTGTATATATATAGTGTGTAGGCAGGCGTCTGCAGAAAATTTTCCAGGAAAGAAAGCTTGGAGACAAATAATTACATAAATAAATTTTTATTCAATTATCTAATTTATTTGGGTTTTTCAGAGGTAGATTATAAAATATAATGTTAAATCCGTGCAGAAGGACGGACAGAGCGTTTCATGCTCGAGGATGTAAGATTACTCATCTCATTCACTTTTGCGACTATAACTCAAGAAAATTTTTATTCGATCCTAGGGAACAAGAGTCCCGTTTGCCTCCTTCTGCGGACGCCCATGTATATATATGCTATCGATCAAAAGGCCGTGGTAGTTAAGTTGTCATTCTATCGCTCTGAGAGATTCAGAAATTCCAGATCGAATCTGCCCGATCAAAAACCCCAGAAGTTTTCGGAGATGATCTGTCCCATATATGTAGGGCCCTTTCCTCATCATCCGGCTCATTCCATTGTCGATCTGGTCGAACCTATGATAAACTTGAAAAAAGCTCTATTAGTGCCCACAGGGAAAAAAGAGCATAAAAATCTATAGCGATTTACGGTCCAAGTTGTGATAAATTATTTTCAAATTAGAAGTTACAAAATGCACATCGTGGCGAGGCCGAAAATCAGACGCTTGGGCAGCTCAAGTCCAAATCAGGGCAGTCGTTTTAAAATTTTAAATTGACCTAATAGCACACATTTGCCATGAGCTGGACGTCGTTCGTATAAACTATATCGCAGTGGCTTATGATTTAAATTTGAGTAAGACTTTTTTCTTAAATTTAATACAATAGACAGCACTTGTATTTTGTTTGTTATTTATTCCAAATGAAATATTACCTATATTACAATAAGGAAAGACCACAGAGCGAATGGTCCACAGGGAATTTTGGAATTTCCTGGTAGGCCAGTCCACCACCGTTACAGAGCAAAGAGTTGTTCAGAAAAGAACAATTACACCCAACAACGTTATGACTCAAATAGCGCTTTAACTTATCAAATAACAAGTTATACAACAGATACATCAACACACAAAAACACTCGAATATCGAAGATCAGACACTCATTGACATTACTTCACCATGCTTTTACCTAGTACAGGGGTCGGCAACCTGCGGCTCGCGAGCCACATGCGGCTCTTTGGATGTGAAGCTGCGGCTCTTTAGTACCATACGCAAATATTATTTATTTTATAAAAAAAAAACATTTAAAAATCGTTCTGAATCGATTAACGAGGATTAGGCACTGATTCTATCTCTCAGCCACTTGTACTCGCTTTTCATCGCACCCCTCCCCCGTCACACGCGTCGTCACTGTCGTCAGTCCATCGGAAGCTCTCGAATGACGCCGTCGTCGGATGTTTTTATTATCTAATTTGTTGTGAAAAACACTACTTATATATGAATAAATAGATATTTTTTCTTATGAATAAATACATTAGTTTTTTTATCAAAAAACTTTATTTATGCGAGTACTATTTATTGTTGGCAAGAAAAAATTTTGTGGCTCTTTAAAAACTTTGAAATTTTGTAAATTGTAATTTTGGCTCTTCCGACTCAAAAGGTTGCCGACCCCTGACCTAGTACAGTTTAAATGGCGGCCGGATGGCCGAGCGGTTAAGGTGGCAGTTCACCGCTCTGGGGGACCCGGGTTCGATCCGAACGGGTCGAAAAATCCCCAGGAATTTTTCGCGGGGTGGTCTATTCGGATATGTTGCCCCTCACCACCCGGCAGCCCCATTGTGGGCATGGCTGAACCCACAGGGTTGAAAGAGTTAAAAAAAAAGTACAGTTTAAATTTGAATCGCACTATACATCGTACAGTACAGTCCGATAATGATTTCACGAGAGGGACAAATAGAAACGAAAATATTAGTTGAAAAAAAAATTCTTACGTATAGCTACTAATGTTGACAAATATTATTATTATTATTATTATTTTAAATAAATATACTGTATGTACTATATAATTAAATTCCAGGTGGCGTTCGATTGAACACGTGTCGTCATGTTTAATGGTTGACTGTTTTATTACTTCTTATTAATTTAACAAAATTATGGGGAAATTAAATGTTTCAACTTTGAGATATTTATCGAAAGATGATTTTAGAGTCTTAACAGCAGTAAGTATATCGTTGGAAAATTCATTTGAGTGACTTACGAATTTCATATGTTATTGTACTCTACTTTAGGTTGAAATGGGAATGAAAAACCATGAGCTGGTTCCAGGTGTTTTAGTTACACAGATTGCTAATTTAAAACATGGTGGCTGTCACAAGCATTTAATGGATTTATCTCGGAAAAAGTTAATTGCATACGAAAGAGGAAGACGCTGTAAGTTTTTGAATAATTTGTTAATTAATTAATCGTGGTGTAAACTTTTACCAAAATTTTATTATAAACAGATACTATAATAAAACGAGAACAAAACATTCTTGATGTACTGTAAAGAAAACAACTGTAACTCCAATGGACATTATTACAGTTGCATAGAGTATATTCTAGCAAAAACTTTGTGATAGTTTAGTGGACATCATTGCTGTTTATAGTTTTTTTTTTTTTTGGTATCATTGGTGTTTTTAAGAGAGACATGTATGGTAGTCATTTGCAAAACACAGCAACCCATATTATAAATGCTGTAAACAAAACTGTAGGACTACTTACCAACTCTGCACTGTTTGGGTCATTGTTGCTTAAACTTTTCCATTTGGAGTATCGTGTTAGATGATGGAGGCGTAGAAAGTGTGTCTTGTGACCCATCACATGACATCTCTGATGTATTTCCTGAGAACTTTTTGGACTCTGAGGAGACCACAGACTACAGTTTGATAAACATTTCATTTGTTACATTTCTGGTAATACTATAATATTCTACAACAAAATCCATGACTTAAGATTTCATAAAGTCAATTTATTTGGTACTTTTCTGTTACCGGAATGCCAGCCCGTATGTATGGTAACAGGTAAGATTCGAGCTCTGAATGAGATATTTCGCACCACTCCAGAATTTTTGACTCTGCGAGATATTTGCCTCCAAAGATCAGTTTTTAACATTTATCGGTATACTGCCTATTCTACAAGCTTTGCAGGTAGTTGTACCCCACATGTAAAACTATGTAACATCAAGTACTCCACAAATAGTCAAGTGGGCTACTCAAAGCTGGCACAGTCATCTGGGCTAAACAGTTAAACGTGATAGTCTTAGTGGACAATGGTATTGTGCATCGGATTAAAGTTACAACAGGTGTTCTGTTAACAGAAAAGAACCGTTTAAATTTAATTTTTCAGTTTGACTCTGCAAAAAATAGCACTATTATAGTACACAGAGGTGAAGTTCAATTAGTTACAGGCAAAGGGTATCAGCATCAGCTTAAGTGAAACTGGCCCCTATTTAGGTGTTACAGACGTGGAGAAAACCTGGAAAACTCCACGTGGCCAACTCATCTGAGCAAGGTGCAAACCCATGACTGAACTCCCAGTGTTCAGGGTACAAAGACCGCTTGGCCACTAGTGGTCTCTAAGAGCCCTCGTAAGTCAAACACTTCTTATTTAAAAATTCCTCATTTTTAAAGAATAATTTTCTTGAAAAGTTTAAAGGCTGCTATAAAGTAATTTGATATCTTATTTGTTCTGTTTTTTTGCTGAGATAACCTGAAAAATAAATTTCCTTTATGAAATCTTAAGTCAGTGGATATTTGTTGTTCCAGTAATATTGTAACATTCTACAATTTGTTGTAGAATGTTACAATACTGTATTACTGTAAACAACAAATGCAATGCTTATCAAACTGTGTAGTTAAACATTACATTTGTTAACTGTCTTTTTATTCTTTAGGAAAAAAATTAAAGAATAAAATTATAGTTACCTTATCTAAAGAATAAAATTATAGTTACCTTAAAGTAAATATGTATACTAATTTAATTTTGGGACAATTGTAATAAAAGTTAGGCATAGAAATTTAATACATACAAATGAAAGAAATAGTTCCAAACAGTGACTCAATGTGAATTCTACTTTATTATTGAAAATCAAGTGTTGTGTTTTTGAAATTGTTTCACCCTGTTTATTTTGTGTATGTATATATATTTATTTATCATATATACAAATGGAAATATCCAGAAACAGTTGATTTCCATCACCTGATAACAATTTACTATATTTGAATTAGCTAAATTACAGGAACTGCTCTACTTTCAGCACTGGGGTGAAATTAACTTTACACTATCTGGAACCTGTTACCAGTGCTCTATGTGTATATATAGTATATCGCTTGACAAATGTTTTCAAGCAATCCATTCGCTCTTCTTCAGGTCGACTGAAAATTCCCTGGTTGGAGTGTATATTTTTCGTTTGGATCGGGTGTCGGATCGGACTGGGTGGGCCGTTTCTGGCATGGGCAGTCGTGTGGTGGGGGAGGAAACGGCGGGTTGGCGTCTAATAGCGATTGCCAGGTCAGAGACAGGGTTAGCTCTTCCTTCTGGTTAATGCAGGTGGCTAGCCGGCCGGCGTTGTAAATAGCGTCTCTGGCTGTGGCGTCTGGCATGTGGTGTGACTGTAGCGTCTCTGGCATCTAGCATCCCTGTCTCTGGCCTGGCAATCGCTATTAGACGCCAACCCGCCGTTTCCTCCCCCACCACACGACCGTGCATGCCAGAAACAGCCCACCCAGTCCGATCCAACACCTGATCCAAATGAAAAATATACACTCCGACCGGGGAATTTTCAGTCGACCTGAAGAAGAGCGAATGGATCGCTCAAAAACGAAAACGTTTGTCGAGCGATATACTATATATACGTGTAGAGCACTGGTAACAGGTTCCAGATAGTGTAAAGTTGAATTAGCTAGATTTAATTATTTAAAAAGTAAAAAAATTAAAACATAAAACTGATAACATGATTTGTTTTTTAATTTAATATATTTATTTTGATTAAACATTACTTATATTTTAATTAAACATTACTTATATTTTAATTAAGTAGGTCAGTTTAGGTAAATAGTTTTCTTTATGAGTTAGAATACAATGTAGTTAAATGTAAAAGGAAATGAAACACATTAAAAGTTTTGAGCAAATTCTAGGTAGTAGTTATCTCTAATAGTGGTGAGAAAATTTTTTAAATTGCACACTCCTTTAACAGTACAGAAAAATAGCATGAGTCTACGAAGCTGAAATTATCACGAAAGCCCATAGCAGAAAATGTATGATGAGTTGGCTCCAGACAGATAATGAGATAAAAATTAGCCCAAAACTAAGTATCAGTGAATGATTACTGTTCAATATTGGACAAAATTTTTCACGAATTTTAAGGTTACATACAAAAATGTGGTATTCGATTTTTCAAAATATTGCTGTTTTCATCAAATCACAATATAAAAATTTTGTCATCATTGAAAAAATAAGCACACAAGATGGTGTACTGTATATTAAAATTTTTTGTGTGAAGTTCAAATAAAAAAAATAAAGTTTTCAAAAACATGATTTCACTGGTTTAGAACATGGCAACAATTTAAAAATATTTTAGGAATCTTTATATTGTTGTACATTATACTATAAAAAATTGCTGCCTTTATTCATCAAATGCAATGTAGTTAAAAAAATAAATCCAAAAACAAGCAACAAAAATTGATCACATGATAACATCTAGCCAATACAGTACAGTAATACCTCAACTTACGCTATCCCGACTTATGCGAACCCGGAGTTACGCGATTTTCAAATCTCATCAAATTGTTTTTTGTTTGAGCGCCAGGCAACTCTTGATTACTCACTCCCCCACACTATTGTTCAGCTTACATGTTCGGACATGTTGCGCGGAATCGACACATAGCTACAATTTATTTTGTGTTATTTATTTCTGTGTATTTTATATCTACGGAGACTTGAGAGACTCTATGTGGTGATTTCTTGTAACCGTTAATAAATCAAAAGATGAGATAAGATTAACGAGAACATTTATTAGCTTACATACCTCCAACTTGGATTTTACACAAATTGCGAAATTATACCCCGACTTACGCGAATTTGACTTACGTGGTTATCGCTCAGTCCCACCAATTGCATAAGTTTGGGCTATCACTGTACTAGACATAAATTGAGAAAATATCATGGGATGGAAATCTGATATCATAAATGTTCTGGAAAATTATTGTTTCATAACATTTGTATTTATTAACATTAGTAAAATAATTTTTACTATAACATCATTAAAAATAAAATATCAATACAGGAATCTCTTGCATAATGCAGGATTTGATTAATGCATGAAATTAATAGTGGCGCAATCCCTTTTTATACATGGCAGAAACTTTAATTAACATGGCTTTAACATCTGTCTTTGCTTAACATCTTGGCAAATAAGGTGCTAGTGAATTTGCTATTTTTGTTTACAATAAAATATTAACTGAAAATTTGTTCTAGCAGGTGATTGTTCAGTCAAGTATCAAGGTACAGTGGAACCCCGGTTAACGAACGTCCTGGTTAACGACCAAATCGGTTAATGAACTTTTATTTTGCAAAAAATTTGTCTCGGATAACGAACGTAATGCTATTTTGTGTCAAATTTTAGTTGGTGTTAGGCATGCGCGAGTTAAGCATTGATTTTCCGAGTGTTTGTGCTATGCTTCTTTTTTCAGTTTTGTGATTTATATATTTAATCAATATGGCATCCAAGAAAGAAAAAAGTCATAGTGGCAATAGAAAATGACAACGCAATATAAACGACAATGCGCTATCGCATTTGAGAAAAATTTTGATTAAAATAGTAAGACAATCAACTTTAGATCAATTTCTTGTTCCTTACGTAAAAAGTTTGTTTGTTTGTTAAGTTATGGCAACGCAACACTTGGGCGATCTGCCTAGGGGAATGCCTTCTGGGAGGTGTTTTTAAGGGAAACTGGCCCCTATTTAGGCGTTACAGACGTGGAGAAAACCCGGAAAACTCCACATGGCCAGCCCGTTTGAACGAGGTGCGAACCCACGAACGAACTCCCCCATGTTCAAGGTACGAAGACCGCTTAGCCACTGGTGGGGTTTTTTTTTTTTTTACCGAAAGAGACTTCGACTGGAAGAATCTTCCAATGAAGTGCTACCCGTTATTTTTTGGAGGGGATTTCCCCTTCTAAGCATTAAGGTTTGTACATCTCCACTTTTCTGCCACCAACTACAACAAACGAAGGTATGTACAGTGCTATTTTATTAAACAAAGTTTACATGTTTGTTGCTGTAACGATAGATACTACGTTTTCTTACATTTTCATCAAAGAAAATTACTGTATATTACAAATAAAATCACAAAAATTTCAGAGACTAGAACGGATTAATTGCATTTGCATTAATTTCTATGGGAAAAATTGCTTCGGTTAATGAACAATTTGGTTAATGAACGGAGTCGCGGAACGGATTAAGTTCGTTAACCGGGGTTCCACTGTACTTGATTAATGCAATTTTGCATTGAGGGATTAATTAATCTTGTTAATCAAGGGATACCTGTAAACTGTTTTATTAATTTAACTTTTTTATAAAGTATTAGCAGACCCTGCCACACATTGTTGTGGCTCAAAATGTATCTATTATAAATGTACAACACTTCCTCCGTGGGGGGAAATTTTTCAAAAAATCCGATCTTAGTGTACATTCTCTTGACATACCCTATTAAAACGCAATCAAAAACACAAAAAACCACATCTAAAATAGTATAATAGAAGCCAAGTTCTTCACGGTAAGCCTTAATCCTGTTCCTCTTTCCTGCGGGGAGAATATCGAAAAATCCCTTTTTAGTGTATATTCTGTTGATGTACCCTATTAAAATGCAAGCAAAAACACAAAAAACCGCATCTAAAATAGTACAGCTGTCCCTTGATAGTCCGACATTTTGTAATCTGACATGCTCAGTAGTCTGACGAACCTCCCGTCAAGGTATCGTTCCCGTTACGTGTCTGCTTGCACAGAAACATGTCACAACGTGAATCTCCCCACCCAATTCTTACACAATGATACACATTTCATGTGTTTTCCATGAGCAGTTCTGTTCGAACAGTTGGAGTAGGGAATATTGTAGGCTACTGCTAGCAAAACAATGCCAAATATGTAATCGCTTTCAGTAATCTGGACACTTTTGGTAATCCGACACCCCTTTGGTCCCATACCTGTCGGATTATCAAGGGACAGCTGTATAATAGAAGCCAAGTTCTTCATGGTAAGCCTTAATCCTGTCTCTCTCCCACGTGGGGAGAATATCGAAAAATCCCTTTTTAGTGTATATTCTGTTGACGTACCCTATTAAAACGCAAAATACTGCATCTAAAATAGTATAAATAGCAGCAGAGTTCTTTACAGTAAGCCTTAATCCTGTCCATCTCCCCCACTGGGGGAAATTTCAACACGTATATTATATAAAAACACATGCGTATTTGAATGCAGTGTTGTGTCAAAATTTCAAGGGAATCAGTAGGAACAAATGAACATTACATTTTTATTTATAAAGATAGATAGATAGATGATCTGCTTTAGTTCATCCTCACAGAAAAGCATAATGCCTCACAGAAAAGCAAACTTCGGGTGTCATACTCGTAGTGCCATCTGTTGGACATAAAAGCCTTAACCCTAGATGATATCTTTTAATTTATATGAATGTTTAACGGAATAATATACAGCCTATGTCCACCCTGAAGTTCCATTGTAAATATTGGTGAAAGAATTTTTGAAATCTGATGAGTAGTTTCGGAGATTAGCCTTTGCATACAGACTTACAAACACTACCTCTTTATAATATTAGTATAGATTATGTTTTTACTAAATATTTATGGTTATTATATTAAATTTCAGATGATGGTTACAGATTAACAAATTTAGGATATGATTTTCTTGCACTTCGTGCATTGTCATCTCATCATGTTATAAGTTCAGTGGGTAATCAAATTGGAGTTGGTAAAGAGTCAGGTATTATTTTTGATTGCTCTACTATATTTTTATTTTTTAACATATCATGTAATATTGTATTAAACTTTTAATAAGAATAATCATTATTTTCAACATAATTTAATATATACTACGTATTAAAGAACTTTCTCTTATGTTTAATGTAGTTTTCTGCTTAGAAAGTATATACTGATCAAAGATTTAATAATTTGTGCATCAGTGAAGAATAGTAGTGCATGCTTGATGGACAGTTTTTTTTTTTTTTTTGGTCTGAAAATGTGATTTGCACGATTTTAAAATATATAGATATAGATGCCAAGTATTAATATATATTCTTCAGTTTATTCAATCATAATATGTAATATCCTCTATAAGCCGAACTCTACATGCCTGCAAGGTCTCTCTGGTCACTCAAAATATCCAGTTACAACTGATTTGATATCTTGATTTTTTTCAATTATACTAGCACTATAATGGCTTTTCCTTTTTTGCTAGACTTATTACACCATCAGTCAGAGAGAGGACAAACTTTAGAAATCTCTGACGAAGGTGAAGGTGAAGGTGCCTGAAGGTAAAGTCTAGCGAAAAAGGAAAAGCCGTTATAGTTCTAGTATAATTGAACACAAGACTAGAGAGAATTGATTTTTTTCTTTTCAGAAAAACATGACATGCATTTCGGATTGAAGTGTAATTAATGATCCCTCTTCAATGCTAAATGTATTTTTTTTCACTACATTCTAACGACAATATACACTACATTCATATTTAACATGGAATCGATCAAATTAATTATTACAAAAGACTAACAGAAAATATTCAAATAGGTAATTATCATTTTATAAAAATGTTACATTACTAAACAAAGTCTTGCTGTCTAATTGCATGTCTTCCACTATTTCATTCCATTTTGTTGTTAAAATATGTTCATCCCATATTTGAGGATGAGAATAAATAATGTTAATTAAATTTTCTTTTACACCAAGTCCAGTATCTCGTTTGGCCATTTTCTACTCTTGTCACAAAACACATATGCAGTATTCAGCGAGAAGAGGCAAGCCACAATAAATATCAAACACTATCAGATATTTGTGAGAGCTAGAAATTCACTCTTGCCAGTGAGATTTCTCACTTGTGCATGGTTTCCTTTGCAAGAACTATATCACTTGCAATCTCTCACTCACTACTAGATTTGCATCTACATAGTTGCACCCTAAGAGTTCATTAATTATAAAATAAAATATTATACATATTTCTTTATTATTACTAACATTATATATAAATTATGTATAGAAAATGTATATATGTTGTACAGATATAAAGCACTTAGAATTTTTAATATTATAAATGTAAATATTTTATTATAGATATATATATTGTTGCTGATGAAGATGACAATGAGTTAGTTTTAAAAATACATAGACTTGGTCGTACTTCATTTCGGAAACTTAAAGAAAAAAGAGATTATCACAGACATCGCAAAGGAATTTCTTGGATATATTTATCAAGATTAGCAGCAGTAAAAGAATTTGCTTTTATGAAGGTAAATTTAACAAATTTTTAGATATAAATTATCAAATCAAAATATTTAAGTGGGAGCATTTTTTTAAATAGACAGTTGGAATTTCATTACTAGAATTAAAGATTTAATACATAATGGACTAATATGATATTAGTAAAAAGGTAAATATATTAAGATTATTGATATACAGACTGAGAATCCTTTATCTGAAATGCTTGGGATTAGAATTATTTTGGATTTTGGAATATTTGTATATTTGCTCTGCAGACACCTTACAGTTAAGTACCTAAATGTATAACATACATCTGTCTTGAACAAGGTTATTGACAATAGCAGTTGTTTCAGAATTGTTAATGTTATTTTGCCACTTTTTTTGTATATTTGCTCTGCAGACACCTTACAGTTAAATACCTAAATGTATAACATACATCTGTCTTGAACAAGGTTATTGACAATAGCAGTTGTTTCAGAATTGTTAATGTTATTTTGCCACTTTTTTTTTTTAAATTAACTAAAGTATTATTTGAACAATATCTTGTTTCTTTGTTTATAAAATCAACTCTAATATATTGGATACATTGGTGATGGAGTCAGCTAAAGGATTTATGTAATGATGTACCTAGCAGTATCATCAGCAGGAGTTTAGTATATGCAGATTTCAATATTAGTAATTGTGCTGATGAGTTGAAAGTAATGGCTCATAGTAATGAAGATGAGACCATTCAGGAGAAAGATGATGAGACTAGTGATCAGAGCAAAGATAATGACAGTGAACTCAGTGAGAAAAGTAAAGAAATATAAATGTACTAATATAGTAAGTGTTCATTGATATTTCTGTAATAACCCTCAATAAAAATAAAATTAAAATGTTTTTTAGATACTTTGAAGAATATTATGTGCAGAAATGTGTACTATGCCAGACCAGAGTCAAGGCATAGCAACTAAACCAAACAAAAGTTATATAAATGTGTCAGTGTCTGTGTGTATTCAGGAATTTCCTAACAATATGACCTGTATTCAATCTAGTGGCCTTCTGTAGTGTGATGTATTCAACTGCAATGTTCCCAGACTTTTGGTTAGTGGGGGTAATATGATACCTGTAGAGGAGAGAATGACAGATATCATATTTTCATGAAATGACTGGCATGCTGCATAAAAACAGGGAGACCAACAAGCCAGAAACTCCAGAGTTATTGGCATGCCAGTTAAACTGCAACTAAAATATAAAATTAATCAGATCTATCAAAATTAGTTGTTTTGTTTTTTGAAACCGTGAAGAGGGGCAAAGCTTGAAACGAGTACAAAACAATGTACCGTATCGACTCAACTAATAAAGGAATTTGATGGAAAATTTGCCATGTGTCTTTGGAATAAAACACAATACTAGTGTTTACTACACCACAAAATTAGTTGTTGTTAAACATTAAAGAAAACATTCTTTTGAGTACAATAAAATAATAACATTTGACCAACTTACTGTAAGAATCAGGAAGAAAGTTTTCATTTACAAAACAATAAAACAATTAATGACTTATTGACATTAATAGTAGCAGTAGTAGTAGTAGTTAGTCAGTGTGGGTTACACTGACCATCTACCTTGATCTTAAAAATAACACCTTCCTCTCAAATTTCCCACAAAGGGGATGTTAATTGGTGTAAGTGGAGATAATTTACAGTGAATTTCTTAAATTTCATATGTTTATTTTTGGGTATTTGAATCAAATAATAAAATACACACAAAAAAAGCACATTTGGAATTCCATGAGTATTCTATGTCGTTAGAAAGAAGGCAAAATGAAGAAATTAAACATATAATTGTAATTTTTGATGTAATGCTGACAGTTTCACAGTTTTAGAATGAAAACTTGTTCGTTTTAACATCACATAACTCATTTGTTTTTTAATGCGCCCTCTCTATAGGGTGCATTAAAAACAAATGAGTTATGTGATGTTAAAAACATTAAAAACAAATCTTAAACCTGCAGGATGGCATTCTCCTGGGATAGACTGGCATGCTGGCTTTCACCAAATGAAAATATCTTATTTCATGGTCTCTCTGGCATGCAGATCATTCCAAGAAAATATGGTACAATAAGCACCTTATCCATCCTCCAAAGATGCCATGTTTTTTCAGTGCATATGCTTTGTACATTGTGAGTGTTTGGGATGGATATGTCTATAACAGACATGGGCAAATGCAGCTCTTGCTGAAAGTGTTAATTTCTGCTTTTTATTATTATTTTTACAATTTTATTTCCACAATTTTGTGAAAATATGTTTATTAAAAAAATTCAATATTTGTTTTATATTATATAATAAAATCGCAGTACAGAACTACAGTACAGAACTGCGGCTCCCATGCATTTTGTAAAAACCTACACTTCGGCTCCCACTGAACTCTTGCTTGCCCACCCCTGGTCCCATATATGTAATTTTACTGTGTTTGTCAATGAATGTGATGTCTGGTCTGTTGTGGTAAATTGTTTTATCTGTAATTATGGCTTTGTCATAGTACATTTTGTGTGTGGTGTTTTCCAATACTGTCTGTGGAATGTATTTGTAGTATGGTTCGTGGATGTCTAATAATTTGTGTTTTTTTGCAAGCTCTTGGTGATTTATTTGCTACTTGATTGTGTCTATGTAAGTAATCTGTCTGTGCCAAGAGCTTGCAACCAGAAGTGATGTGTTGTATAGTTTCTGGCATGATGTGACATTTTTTGCATGTGTCATTTGTGAGTGTTGTATCTTTGAGTATGTGTTTTCAGTAGATTTTAGTATTTATGACTTGATCCTGTATGGCAATCATGAACCCTTTTGTCTTCCCAAGAGGCATCCTCGAGCTAACCAGCTGTTTGACACAGTTTTATCAGCTTATTAATATGTTGTGAATCTCATGTTCAGCTGATACTGGTGCCAAGTGCTATGCTGGATTAAAGTCAAAGTGTAACATTAAGCTGTTATTGGTATGAGTCAACATCTAGAAACTTCCTAACAATTTTTTTTTTTACTCTTTTCACCCTGTGGGCATTAAGAGGGCCTCTTAAAGCAGGCCCACAATAGGGCGACCAGGTGATGAGGGACGGGGCCTGACATATTCGAATGGACCACCCCCTGAAAAATTCCTGGGGATTACTTTGACCCGTCTGGATTTGATCCCGGGTCCCGCGGAGTGGTAGGCTGCCACCTTGACCGCTCGGCCATCCTACCTACTTCCTAACAATGTGACAGACACGTGTTTATTATTATAATATAATTTTTATATATATATACATATGTATGTGTAAATATAAAATCAAATAATAATAATTTATAAGTTTAAATAAATGAATAAATCAGAAAAGAACGACAGATGCATTGATATTATTAATATAGTTTAATCTGTTAATAGTTTAATATATTATTCCAAGAGTGCATTGATATTATTAATATAGTTTAATCAGTGTTCAAATAGCCATTTAAATATCTGAAGTAGTAAATTATTGAAAGCTTTCATTTTAAAATTTGTTTTTAACCATTTCTATTAAAAATGCAATACAGACCGGTTAACAAAAATGATGTAGAAGTTATTTTTTTTCTGCTAATTAAGTTTTAAACTTATTTTAATCACTTGATCAAGCAATTTATGTTTATCAACACAAAATAAACTTGATTATTTAATTAAATAATAAAAATTAGATTTAAGTGATATTGATACACTTAAATTTAAGAGATATGCCAAAAAGCATGATTATTTTTAATAAATATTTCGAAACAAAAATTTTTTAATATTGAATTCTATGGGAATTATTACCAAATAATTTTTCCAATGTTTATAATACTGATTATTTTAATCTTTAATTTATGTACTAATTTGAAAACAAAACATTAAGTTTATGATAGTTACTTGCAAATTTCTAGTTTGATCATTTTATATCTCATGTAGTTCATAATAAGAAAAATAGAATTTCCATTATTTCTAAGTAAATCAGAGCTGCTTCACAAAGATAATAAATGTTTTTGGATTTTAATGATCTTCTACTTGAAGAAGGTCATTAAAAAATCTACCCCAGGCCCCAAACAAACTTTTGATAGTCCTGTACAGATCAGGATCTATATTGGAATTAACTAGAGGCAATACTTTTAAGAATCAAGCTCTTAAAAACAATATAATGATATTCTACTTGAAGGAGGTCATTAAAATGTTTTAGTTATTAAATTTTTGCTGTTTCTTCAAGGTTAGTTGAGTAAACAATGTACCGTATCGACTCAACTAATAAAGGAATTTGATGGAAGATTTGCCATGTGTCTTTGGAATAAAACACAATACTAGTGTTTACTACACCNGGCTTTATATGATCGTGAATTTCCAGTACCAAAACCAATAGATTTTAACCGTCATTGTGTTGTAATGGAATTAATAGATGGATATCCTTTGTAAGTATTTTTATGTGAATTTAAACTAATATCTATGTATTAAAATATTTATTCTAATATTTCAAATCAAATCTTGTTAAATACAAATATTATTAATAGTAAATCTGTAAGTGTTTTTATTGAATTTGCATTCTAAAAGCAGAAAGTTAGAAAAAAATCAAATGCTATGTAACTAAGTTACTTAGCATTTGATTTTTATAAAAATTTTTGATAAACTATTATTTAGTCAATATAAAGAATATTATATTTTGAATATAAAGAATACTTTTCAAAATGATTACCTTAATGAAAAACAGTGATCTGTAATATAGTTTTTAATTTATTGACATCTATTAGTTGCTGAATGGATAAAATCACTGAACACCAGTGCTACATGAAATTGTCAAGGTTTTCTTCATATTCGTAACACCTAAATAGGGGACAGTTTTCTATAGAAAGTCTTCTGTAATTTGTAATTTAATTTTTTATCTAGTATTATCTTTATGTATTTAAAACTTTAAAAATAAATATATTATAAAATACAAATTTACATTTAAAACAGTAAAGTCAGTCTGAAACAGTAATCTGCACAAACAGAAGAATTGTTTGGTGTAGAGCAGTTTTTTTTATGTTAAATTCTAGTATAAGCCAGAAGCTTGCTCAATGTGGAAAGAGAATGAGTTATTGGATATGAAGAATGTAATTTAATCCAGATAAAGCAGAAATTAAGATTCCACTTGCAGACAGATATATAAAATCTCCAATATTGCAGATCATGACAAATTATTTCAAATCTTGTCAAAGAAATAGTCATGAGAACTGTCAGGAGGGGATGGAGCTGGTATTTTGCCTCAGTCCCAGAGAAAGAGACCTATAATAGTTTCTGCCCGTATAATTTAATGTTATTTTTACTAGCAAAAAATAAAATCTTTCTTTATTAATAAAAAGCAGTTGTAAACATTATAAATATTTCATTTATTTAAAGGAAAAAAATAAGAAAAGTGTAAGAGAGACCCACTCTGCCCAGGCCCCAAACAAGCTTTTGATGGTCCTGTACAGATGAGGGTCTGTATTGGAATTAACTAGGGATAGAATCAAATACTTTTAAGAATCAAGTTTTTGAAAACAACCAACAAATACTTGTAATTTGTGAAAACAATGAGAATAAGGTAACATATGCCACCAATTTGCCTTATGCAGAATAGTTAATAACTAATATAGAGTATTTGAAAACAAGTTAATTAACTTATTGTTATTTACAAATATTGAAGTAAATGATTAATTAATTATAGTATTAAAATTGCTTGAGAAGCCAGATCACAGAACAATTTTGTCTGTTTCTGCAATAATGTACAGTGAAATTCTGTTAACCTGGCATCCAGTATGTTGGCAAATCCAATAAGCTGGCATGTCGAGCTTATCATTGGGAGGTTTATCAGTTCATTAGTTTTTATCATCATCATCATCATCAACAGCTTTCAATATAAACATAATGGAAACAGAAGAAGACCAATACAACATGAAGACATGCTAAGTTAGCTTGTGCATGATTTTTCTAATGACTTTTTCAAAAACATTAATGCATGGGTTTGATATGAGAAGCAGAAATATTTAGCACACTTGAAATTAATAATTATCACAAACACTACAGTACAGTACATTAACATTCTTGTACTTGGATAATTAGAGTACATCTGTATTTATACACAATAAAAGTGTATAAAGCATTAAGTGATAATAGTTTGTTCTTGTTTCAAGCCAACCAACGGTAAGAGTAGCCTGGAAAATTTGAAATGGCTTGTTAAACAATCATAAAAGGGATATTTGTACAGCTTACATGCGAAGCTATGTAAAACTGTGTTCAAGGATTGAACAAAACTAGAAAAACTTCCACTGTCTAGTAAAGTGATATATTTGATAATCCAGCACCATGACGGTCTTGATGATGCCAGGTTATGGAATTTCACTGTAATCTGATTGGAATTTTCAGTAACAGGGCAAGACATTAGTTTTTAGGACTCAAATTGACTTGTTTGCTTTCATTGAGTGTACAAGGATTTCATCTGAGAAATATTCTAATACTTAACACAAGTTCATGGAAATAGCAAAAACTTTTTAGAATCAAATAATTTTCAATTCTTGTATACTCCCATCTTTAGTTGGAATTATATTGGATTAATTTGGATTAAATCTTGTAGTAAAATTTTTTATGTATGTAAAAGTGATTTTACTATTAAAAATGAATGTAACTAAGTGACATTTATCTGGTGTAGTTTAAAGATGATAAAAAGAAAAACATACAACAACCTGTTAAAAATTGAAGAAATAATTTGGTAATGTGTAATTTTGGTTTACACAGGTTTTACTATTTTAAATTGTTTCATAATCATCATTCTTATGTTAAATTAAAATTATACATATGCAGAAAATAGTTCGACAGTCTGAATAGGATGAAAATGTTGCTGAATAAATGTGTTTTGGTTATCAGAAGTAAACAGCAAAATGTTCCAATAAATGCAAAGCAAAATGTTCCAAATAAATTATATATATATATTATCTTGATTCTTTAAAACTTTTGAATGTTTCTTCAAATTATAATCATAGTATGATACAATAAATATAATTGTTTATAAATGTAGATCTGATCTTTAACATTTAATATACAGATAGCAATAATAAATTTTAAAACATTGTTTTTAATGGATAAAATTGTTTTATTACAGTGATTTATTTTTTTTTTTATTGATTATTGAAGTTTAATTATTTATGCTAGATTTGTTTTTAGATATTGAAACAAAACCAAATGTTGAATGTTTAGTTGTTCTGGATAATTTACAGAACACTAGATTTTGGTAGATGTCTTTGATTGTTGAACTGAACTTATTATAAATCATTGAATAATTATTATATAATTATTTAATAATTTTTACATCATAAGCAATAAGAAAAATAAACTAAAATTTACATTTTATAAAACTAAATGCTTAAATTTTAAACATAGATGTCAAGTACATGAAGTAAATGATCCTGCTACACTGTATGATGAACTGATGAACTTACTAGTTCACTTAGCTAATTACGGCTTGATTCATGGAGACTTTAATGAATTTAATATAATGCTGAAAAAAGATGATCATCCTGTATTGATTGACTTTCCACAAATGATTTCTACTTCTCATCCCAATGCAGAATGGTAATTTTTATATTTCAATAACTATTTTCAAATAATGACATTTATAATCTTTTTGTTGTAAATAAATGTTTTTGTTAATTTTTATAGGTATTTTGAAAGAGATGTTAATTGTATTAGAGAATTTTTCAAAAAACGTTTTAATTATGAAAGTGTTTTATATCCAACGTTTCAAGACATTGAGTAAGAATCACTTGATATTGATATTAAACTTAAGTTTACGTAATAATGAGTTAATTTCATAATGATTAAAAATTATAATGCTTCTATATTGATATCAATTAATTTATATTAATATTTTAGTTTATATAATAATTAGAGTATTATTAAGATTTATGATTGATAATACTTTTGTAAATTTTTGAATTTAAAAGAACATTTTACTGTTTTTATATTTGTGAAATATGATAAAATTATAGATGCTCTCTGACTTTTGTAAACTTGACTTATATAAAACTTTTCTCATAATAATAGATTAATAAGATTGCTATGAAAATAATTAAATTCTATAAAAATAGTATAATTTCTACACCGGAATACTGTACAATGCACTTACCTCTAAGCCTTTTATTGGTGTGTGTCTCAGAACAAACTATGCAATAAAGTTACAAATGTTTTTGAACCATTACGGCTCTTCTTCAGGTAACTTGAACTTCCTAATTGAATGCACTTGAATTCAAAGTTGTTATGAGATATCATCTGGAACATTGCCCCGTGCAACCAACCGATGACGTCATTATGGACCTGCATGCTATTCATGCTGTGCTATCCTATAGTTTTATTGAGTAAGGTCTGCCAGGCCATTGATAAACCAATTTCCTCCTTGTAGTTAATACAATTACTCTCCTTTATGGTATTTAAGCATATGTATATTGCCTCAAGCCATCTGAGATGGTCCATGCAGCCTGTGGTGTGTATGACCTTTGCTTGAGGGAATATAGGTTCTATATCTGGATCCGAGGAATATACAGCCAGAGCTGTGTTGGTTCTTTCATGTTGAATATCTGCTTTATGTTCTTTAATTCTGGTTTCGAGGGTGTGTTTGGTTGATCCTATATAGACCATGCTTCTATTACACCTTACATGCTTTAAGGGTTTTTAATCCCCATGCTTTTTTCTATCATGTACTTCCATGCTGTTGGAAGCATATTAGTATCCTTGGCATTTAGGCAACAGTTTTTCATCTTACTTTTATATATTTCCATTTTTTCCATTTCTAATACAATGGATGGAGATTGGACAGTTTTAATGATTTTTGCCTAATCCCATTTTACATTTGCTCCTGTCTGCGTCATGACTGCTAAAATGGTTTTGTTATGCCTTTTATTAACGTTGTATTTCTCACAGATGTATTGTAAGTTTCTTCTGGTTACACCCATATAATCCTTTGCTATTCCTAATTTTTGATTCTCAAATTTCAGGATCGTATTAGTACGAGATTAGTAGAATTAAAATAATTGCAACAAATCTATAATACAAAACCCCTACAATAGAAGGCTTGGTCAAAGGTTACTGACAACATAAAGGCAAAAAACATACTACTGTAGATGCAATTAACAAATTCACATACAATAAACATATAGGAGGAGTGATGAATGAATTGCGTACTTATAAAAACTCAAGAATGGTATATAAAAAAGCACCCAACATCTATAGCTGAAAATAAGAAACAATAAAGACACTGTAAAAATGCAAGAGAAAGCTGGAGTTTATAAAATACCATTTGAGAATCAAGAATTAGGAAAAGCAAAGGATTATGTGGGTGTAACCAGAAGAAACTTAGCAATACATCTGCGAGAAATACAACATTAATAAAAGGCATAACAAAACCATTTTAGCAGTCTTGACGCAGACAGGAGCAAATGTAAAATGGGATTAGGCAAAAATCATTAAAACTGTCCAATCTCCATCCATTGCATTAGAAATGGAAAAAATGGAAATATATAAAAGTAAGATGAAAAACTGTTGCCTAAATGCCAAGGATACTAATATGCTTCCAACAGCATGGAAGTACATGATAGAAAAAAGCATGGGGATTAAAAACTCTTAAAGTTTGTAATTGTTATACTTGGCCTTGTTATTGTGTTATTTATTTATGCTATTTAATTTATTTTATTTACTGTTATTTATTGTATTGATTTATTTTTTCATTTATTTAATATATACAATTATTGTAAAAATCTATTAAATTTAAAATGTAACATATTCAAAAAAACATTCCATTTTGGAACGGTAATCGTAAACCTGAAGATGGCCTATAATAAGTAAGTTGAAAACGTTTGAGAATAAAATAATTTATACTTGGCAAAAAATTCAGGTGTGTTGTTATAATTATGCTTGGAAATTATTGTTTGAACAATGATTCTACACAACACAACATGATGCACATTTTTATTACAATTTTTTTTTGTTTTATTTTAATTTAGTGGATTTAGTAGATTGTAAAATTTATTTTTTTATATTTAAACATGTTCAGTGTTTGATTGTTTATGTTCTATGTCCATTAATATTTGTAAATGTTGATTTTTGGAAGATCATTAAAAATGATTGAAAATAGTTTTTCAAATTGAACATTTTTGCTGCTATTTAAGATTTTGTGTAATTATTTATACATCAGTGTTTTGGTTTTGTTTAAACTGTAATAATATCATTGATATTGTACAAAATACTCTATAAAACTTGTACAATTCTATAAATTGTTAGTGTTCAACACTGACTAAACTGGACTCAGCAGAAATATCTGGTCTAATCTGTGACCAAGATGCTCTTCACTTTTGTGTAATTAGCTTAAGCTGGCCAAATACAAGGCCACTAGTTATTGATCTTGTTAGACACATATTATTATTTATCTTGCTTTTTTCAATCTGGAATACAATTTTCTAGAATGATAAATTCTAAAACAATGATATCTATCATTTTATAATCTTTCACTCCTATATATATATGATTTATGATTGTTTTTGCTTCCTCTTAGTTGTAAAAAGTTATAAAGTTGCTTTTAAAATTTGTAAAATTTAGGAAAGAATATAACTGTTTTACTTTGTTAGACATTTTTGATAATTCAGACATTAAATAATTCATAATTTTTTAATAAACTTGTATAGGCCTATTAGAATTCAAATTAATAATCTTTTATTTAGAATAATTTAATTTCATTAAACAATTTTAAATATGTTAATTCTCTTCAGTTAAAAAAATAAATTTGTTTCATTTTAGGAGAGAGTTTGATCTTGATTTAGAAACAGCTGCAAGTGGATTTTCAAAAGAAACGAAAGAAGAATTTAATGAGGTAATGACTTTCTTTTAAAATGATTTTTTTATAAACTCCAGATATTAAGTCATTAAGATATTTTCCATATATTATTGTTCACTAATTTCTTCTTTGATTTCATATATTTTGTAAATTGAAACAGAAGTAAATTTCAACACTGTAATACATTGAAATGTTTTATTTCAATCGCTTGTGAAAATAACAACAACAAATTACAGATTTATTAATTTTTATTTATTTTAAAATCAAAATTAATGTAGACTTTCTTGACAATACGTGATAAAAATGTCAGCCTCCTACTCTGAGAGATCCCAATCTGAATTTGAGCTTCTGGAATTTTGTAGGTGGTTAGATTCAGAAATGTTAGTCTGTATTCTTGAACACTTGACCACCCATTGTAGGCCAAGCTAAAAATTCAGCTTGGCTAACAAGTGGTCAAGTGTTAATATATTGATATTTATATTATAATTTATTTATGCTACCACTTTTCTATACTATTATAATTTACTTAAAAGTGTTAATTTTGTTTCTTTCACTGCAATTGGCTTGCACAGAATTTTCATACATACATACAAATTTACTGTCAAAGTAATCTTAAAGTTAATCTATAGTACTGATTTTCAGAAATGGTTCAGGATTAAGAAAGTCAGGTAAATGGTATTTTAAGGATATTAAATTGATAATTGTGAATGAAATAAAATACTTTTAAGTTTACATTCAGTATAAAAGCTTATTTGGAAAATATCATTTGAATGTAAAACAAATATATTATTAATCTGGATGACTTACAAAATTAAAACATTTTTAATTTTGTAAGTCATCCTGTTTTGACTTTTGCATTAACTTTTTGTTATGGATAATTTGGATTATGAATTATTGCAGAAAGTACAGGCTAAAGTTTTTAAAATGATACTACAACTGAATTTTTCAGTTTCAGATTATATAATACTAGGCTTGTTAATGGAGACTACATTGACATATTAATGAAATTTTTCATTCATTTCTATGTTAACAAAAATACTTTATTTATTTGATGTATCAAAAATTTAAGAAAAAATAGGTAAATTTCTCAAAAATTTATTAAGTTTTAATAGTTTGATGTTTTCTTCTGAAATAATAGTAATGATTCCTGTAGAAGGTTATTTGAATGTATTAGTAAATTGTTATACAACTTAGAAACTCGTATTATAATAAATTTCATAGTTTGTATAAACAAATTATAAATGAAAACTCTTTTTTATGATTGATAATTTAATTATTGTAATGAAGTTTTAAGTTCTTTTACAAATAAGATTTAATATCTGTTTTAAATTTTATAAATATTATAAAAGTTATCTTGGTTAACTCGGTCAAAATTAATATTAGATGTGTATTTACACTTGACAATTGAATAAAATATTGAGATGTTGCCTTCCTTACAAAATTAATATAATTTTTTATTTAATTGTCAAGTGTAAATACACATCTAATATTAATTTTGACCGAGTTAACCAAGATAACTTTTGATTATAATTTCATAATTTTTTAGGAATCTCTGCTATTAAAATATGCAAGTTTATTATAATGATTTTCCAAGAATTGACAGAATAATTCTTGTAAAAACAGAGTTTGTTGTTTTTGTGAGAAAAGGCCCCTTGATTATGTGGGAACTATGCCTTAAGACCAGTAAGCTAAACTAAACTTTAAAATCATTGTACATCCTAAGATATTTGATAGATTCTTTTTTATTTATGGCATTTAGAGTAATTTCATTAATAAATATAAAATATTAACAGTTGGAAAAATTTTGCTATCAAACAGCAAATTTTCCAACACAGTGAATATAGGATTTGTTTATTTTTTGTTTTTCATATTCCAGTTAAATTCAGCAGATTTCTGAATAATCTCTATGCATTGGCAAAAATAAAACTGAACTATTTACCTGATATCTTTTTTAGTAATTTTTGCATTAATGATGATTATTTTTACCTGTGAATTCTAGCAAATGAAAATTTTTAAATTGGGTTTAAAAAATACTATAAATTGGATTAATAACTATTAAAAACAGTTCTAAAAAATTACTAAGCAAGTCTTATTGAAAAAAAAATTTTGTTTTTCCTTTTAATTGGTGCATTTCTTGCTTATTAATTGTTCAAGACAAAATTTTATGGCTCATCCCATTGCAGATTCATTTAATTTCAAAATAATTAATGATAATGTTTCCTAACATTTTATTTTACCTCTGATTTTGAAAAATAAAAAGAATATTTTTCATTTGGGATAAATTTGACAATATTTTTGAATTTCTTGTTTTATGTTCAGAAAATACTAAATTTTTATTTACTTCTAGTATTTCATTTGCTCAAAAAATTCTGTTATTAGTGAATTTAAACATGATACAGGATTAATGCTGTAGAATTAAACAACACATTTCTTAAAAAATAATAATAATCTAATATAACAATAATCTTTATTAAATAATAATAATCTTTTCCCTTATCTTTTAACCAGAAAATTCTATGCAATGTAAGGTGCGTGGTAGATTTAATTCTGATTAAATGTACAAGACTAGTGTATCATTTGTTACAAACTTTGTAATCGATATAATAAATAATAATTTTTTTCATCTGATATTTAATTAACAATTAATTATTATAAGTTTATTTCATTGTTATATATTTGCTATTATAAATTTATAAAATTAAAATTTTTCTAATTTTATTGATAAATATCAATATTGAAATATAATTTATGTTTAAAGGCAATACAACAGATGAAAAATGCCAATGATAGGAGTTCTGAAGAGGAAGAAAATGAAATAAGTGAATTTGAAGAAGAAAACGAATCAAAAGTGTACAGTTCAGAAAATCAAGAAGTTTGCAAAGTAACAAATGTACAAAGAACAGACTCCAAAGTAAATTTTAATACCAAGCAAATACTGAAATTTCTAGAAGATGTTGAAATATCCAAAACTGCAGAATCAACTAAAGCAGAGAGTTGCGCAGAATCAACTAAAGCAGAGAGTTGCGCAGAATCAACCAAAGCAGAGAGTTGTGCAGAATCAACTAAAGCAGAGAGTTGCGCAGATTTATATGTGGATATTGCACAAGATGAAAAGTATGCTTGTAGCGAAATGGATAGTACTGCAAGTAAAGCCTCAATTGCTCCTGAAGTAATTTGTTCCAGGATTAGAAAGGAAGTATTGAAGAGAAAACAGAAAGAGAAACGTAGAGTGAAGATTAAAGGTGAAGCCAGTGCAGTGAACAGGTTACGCCGTGAAAATCATGATACTGTTAAAGAAAGTTTTGGTTTTTTTTAACCAATTGAAAATAATTGTAAATGGTTTTCTTTAATTTCATTAAAACACACATTATCATCAGATTTAAGAGTAATAGTTCCACTAGAGACATTCAAATATGACCACTGCACTTTGTAGGAGAAATATTACAGATTGTGACAGAGAGGGCAACTTGTAGAATGATGTCTTAAAGATTCAAAAATTGAGAGATTGCCAATGGGGAGAAAAAGGGGAGGTTAATCTTTCTTGTCAAGATGAATGAGGCGTGCAAGCATAATGTACAGTACAGTACCTGTACATGTTATGTAAAAGTGACCTGTCTAGTGTCAACATTCACAAGCAAAAATAACAATTCTGGTCAAGAACTTCTCCAGGACAGAAACAAAACATGGTACAGTTTATAGTTTGCCATCATCAGTTATCCAATGATAATCTGAGGTCCAATGGCAATCGGACAGACTGGCAAAGTCAGACATAATTATCGGCAGAACAAAGATGAATTCCAAGACAAAAGGGAAACCAACACAGAGGACAAACAAGTTGAGCTAGGGAGAATGACCATATTTTGTCCTCAAATTTCCGGGCTTTTAAGGGATTTATCCCCAAAATTCTTAATTTGATTGGTCCCAAATGTATCACTCTACCTACCAATTGGTCCCTTTCCTGTTTCCAGGTGAAATTAGTCAACCAGATCAGATGTGGGAAAGATGACTCTCTGTTAATCAATTTGACACTTCCATTTGACTTTGTCCACAAGTGTTGTTGATTGAACTTTGAAACCTGCTTGTATCAATATCTGACACGATGACATTTTCTTTTCTGACACCTAAAATTTTTTTTACATTTTTATTAATTACAATGCGATTGTTTTTCTTTTAAAGGAATGCTACATTTCCTTGTTTTGTTTTCAAATTTTGCCATGTCTACAAACATTAGAATCAAAGTTTGATTTTCCTGATTTAGTATTTGAGAATATTGAGTGGTTGACCCCATGAAGTCATGAGTTGGAATGTTCAGAATGTCAAAGTAACATAGCCACAGAGAATCACTAATGAAAAGCAAAAAAGGAATGAATATTGTGTAGGTAGTGATGCTTTTTCCATTTCAAGTTTTTGAAATGAAGTAATTCAAGGTAATCACAGGAGCTTGAATTACTTGTTTGGCAAATATTGATAGCATTTTAACATGTTGAATTTTCCACTAACAAAAAATAATTGCCACTAATTCGAATCACAAACTTCTGAGCTTTTAAATTTTCTTTTCAGTAAACAAATGGACAAAGCAAATATAAACAATTTGATGTAATTAGCTGATGGTGGCTGATTATATTTACTCATTTTGCTGTTCCAGTTTTGTAAAGTGTCACAGGATAAATTCACCAGAAAATAGTTTTTCACATTGTGAATTTGCTTTTGTTAGTGAATGCACGTCTGAACTAAGCTTAGCAATTTCCACAGTGCAAAAGAGCTGAGTGATCAATCAATTATATTTATTTTCTATTTAATTTTTGAGTTTACAGCTTGTATTTTAACATTATTATTATATATTTTATTTTATTATTTGACAAATAAGAAGTGATACAATTAAAAACTTTTCTTACATTCTTTTCAAACAATAAACAGAATCTATCTATCAAAGTTTGAGGTTTTCTCATCTGAGTGGAAAATATATTTCATGATGTTTCATTTATACAGTAGAGTGTCGTTTATCCAAATCAATTGGGAACTGGGGTTGTTTGGATAACTTATTTTTCGGATAACTGATTATGTACAAAAAAAATACATTAACCTATCCCGTGTTGAAATTTTTCTCTGTTGCATGTCGCTTCGCATTGAATTTTCGTCGATGTTAATCCTAATGTAAACTTTGTAAAATAATAATCGTAGCTATTGTATTGTTAAAAATTTTTTCATTTTTTACAAACAAAATAAATATATTGAAAAATATAAAAACAAAAAAATTTATACTTTAGAAGTTGTCGTGCTGAATCAAACGTTTTTGATACTAGATAAACAGTCCTCAGAAAAACAACACACAAAAGTGTGTTGTTTTTCTGAGGACTGTTTGTTTATCTAACACACAAACATAAAAAATATTGGAATAGCCCAAGATATAGCCAAAGATTGCAGCACCATAGCACTAGCGAAAATTTAAATTTTCCGACTGGAATTCTTTCGGATAAACAACACTCTACTGTAATTACATCTGTAGTGAAGTGTAAGAAGGAAAAAAAAAAGTGTGTTAATACTTGATATGGAAAAGAACCTTGTAAACAGCCTACAAAGGGAAGTCAAGGATTTGTAAATTTAATCAATCATCTTACTATAAAGAATTTAGTAATGCAATCAATCTCTTGTAAACTATGTAAAGAATATAGTATAATACTATATTTTTCACAAATAATAAATGATAGACATTCATCACATTTTTCAATGATCTATCAAAGATAAATTTCAATCATTAGGCATTTTAAGGAAAATAGATTTTATTTATTTTTAATGGATCAGTACATATTACTTTTTCTTTCCTTTTCCTGATGCCACAAAAGTGACAGTAGTTGGCTGAGGTTGTCCATATTCCTTGATGGAAATTTTGTTGAGATAATATAATGCCAGAATTGAAAATAAGAAGCTACAAAAATTTAAACAACACAATTTCAATGACAAATTTAATATATCCACCATAACTATATTTATCTAGGTTACAGGCAGTCTTCAACTTTTGGACATTTGAAACTTTTGAACTACTAACTCTTTCATGCACTAAATATAAACCTTACTTTTCATACCTACAGCTGAAAATGTATGAATCAAGCCAATTACTTTTCATATTTTTGGCAGAAATATTTTACATATTGTAACATATTAAGATATAAAATCTCTTATTCATTATATAAAATTTTCCTAACTTTTCAGTTCTCTGGAACTAAAACTCACTTTATAAAATACAATGGGTGATCAGTTAATGAACATAATCCATTCCAAAAGCATGTTCACTATCTGAATTGTTCATTGACCGAGTATCGATTTACCATAGTTTTTTGTGGGAATTTGATTAATTCATTCTGGAGACCCAAAAAAATAAATATAAAATTATATACTTTGCTTTTAGTTTCTTACTATGATTATTTATATGTAATAACAATTTCTTCATTTTCACTTGGATGGCACATCTTTGTATCTCAGATGCAATTTTCGTTACTCCTTTATCTGCTTGAGTCTTTTTGATTATACAGTATCTTTCTTAGCTAAGATTGTATGTACTGTTGAAGTCATCTGCCTATTCTCTACTTTGGCTATTATCTCTTGCTTAGTTTCTATACTGAACACCGTTCTTGACACTCCACTCGTTTTAGGCCCCATAATAATATGTTTTAAAAACTTCAGAGAGCAGAAATTAACTAGTGCAAAAAAGTTTATTTATACAACTGTGGAAGTCTCGTTCCATAAACCATACACAGATGCCATTAAAATACAGTTTTACTGCTTCTTGTGTTCTTTTGTCAGGTGAATACCGACAAAAGAAACATTAACCAATCACCCACTGTATAACTTTTGTATACAACTGTAATACATTACGACCAAAAGTTGAGGAATGCAAGCATATTCATTATATATATATATATATATATATATATAATGAATATGCTTGCATTCCTCAACTTTTGGTCGTAATGTATTACAGTTGTATACAAAAGTTATACAGTGGGTGATTGGTTAATGTTTCTTTTGTCGGTATTCACCTGACAAAAGAACACAAGAAGCAGTAAAACTGTATTTTAATGGCATCTGTGTATGGTTTATGGAACGAGACTTCCACAGTTGTATAAATAAACTTTTTTGCACTAGTTAATTTCTGCTCTCTGAAGTTTTTAAAACATATTATTATGGGGCCTAAAACGAGTGGAGTGTCAAGAACGGTGTTCAGTATAGAAACTAAGCAAGAGATAATAGCCAAAGTAGAGAATAGGCAGATGACTTCAACAGTACATACAATCTTAGCTAAGAAAGATACTGTATAATCAAAAAGACTCAAGCAGATAAAGGAGTAACGAAAATTGCATCTGAGATACAAAGATGTGCCATCCAAGTGAAAATGAAGAAATTGTTATTACATATAAATAATCATAGTAAGAAACTAAAAGCAAAGTATATAATTTTATATTTATTTTTTTGGGTCTCCAGAATGAATTAATCAAATTCCCACAAAAAACTATGGTAAATCGATACTCGGTCAATGAACAATTCAGATAGTGAACATGCTTTTGGAATGGATTATGTTCATTAACTGATCACCCATTGTATTTTATAAAGTGAGTTTTAGTNATAACTACTGTTTGGTGTCGTTGTCAGCACCACTTGTTATTGATAAATTTAACATAAATTAGTTTTTACTATCGCAAAATAATTTTAATAACTGTATTTATTATTTAACCTTACAAAATCATCTTATTTTATAATGTCTTAGAGAAAACCACATTCACAAATAAAGAGTCTGCAATGTACTGTAAACATGATTAAATGCAGCCTAGTTGAATTTACTATTTAAAATCTATGTAGTGTAGTGTAGATTACAATGATAAAAAATTATAAGCATCACATTTAGTTGTTTGAACTTATTAAACCAAATTGATTTTCCTAGAATATATTCTAGGAAATATATATTTATAAAGCTTAAGATGTGCTATGTGATTTTTAATAAGTTTCAATAAACTTTCAGTTCTTTGATACTGAAAACAGATATTCTTATTCACTTAGTGACATTCTTGGCTTCACTGAAACAATTGCTTTACTTGAGAACTTATCATATTTCTTTCATTTCCTTTCAAAATAAGTTAAATAAGATTTATGAATAACTTTCTACTTGAAAATAACTAAAATCTTCTCACTTGAGTACTGGAAATATATAAATTAAAACTCCAAAACCTTTAAACATCCAGTAGTAATCAATTTAATAATAAACAAACGTTTTCGACTGTACTCTCGGTCTTCATCAGGCTTAAAATCCGTTAGATTCGAACCTGTGCAAGTGTAGAACAATGTTTATGAAATTAATTTTGAAAATTAACTTCGAAAAATGGAACCGCACAAACTGATTTTAGAGAATACAGTTATGCATGCGCATTGCCATGGTGACGGAATGGCATACGTAATACATACAATTATATAAATATATCTAAATATATATAAATAAATACACCAAACGGGGATGTTGTCTTTAATTGCTGGAGTGGGCGTCGCCCGTTACCTCAGCAGTATTTCCAAGCATGGGATACATTGACTGCATCATTAGCGTTAATGCAATTGGTGCGTAACTCGGCTTTGTAAATTTCCAATGCCTCCAGATTTCGTAGGTGTTCCAGTCGATGAGAAAGTTTGATCAGTTTGGCCTCATGTAGGTCAGCTCTTATGCCGGGATCAGTGGCATACGTCGAAAACGTTTGTTTATTATTAAATTGATTACTAATGGACGTTTAAAGGTTTTGGAGTTTTAACTTGAAAATAAAAATAATTTGATTAATTTAAAGTCAGAAATTGTAACATCTTAATTTTATTTGGATTGGTTATACAAACATGTTCTAAATCTATACACATTGAAACTTGTTTAAAATAATAATGAAAAAATGAAAAAAAAAAAAGTGGGCACAAATGATTGTTTTTCACACCATAAAAATAAATTTTTAAATCATGTCACTTTTGACTTTGAATTTTTTAAATACTTATTTGGATACACTAAAAGCAAGCTCAACTTGACTGATCAATAATTCTTTGTGGAAAATATGGGATGTTCCAAGATTTCAACTAATAACATACAATTTTATCAGTCATCTTTTTTAGAACTAATTTATTTATCTTTAATATTTACAAATTTTATAACTGCCAATTTCTAATGAGTTTTTTGATTACACTTAAATATTGAATATGTTCATACTTTTCAGTTAATACTAATGTTGATTATCATCATTGTTATTAAACATTATAAATTAAGTTAATCAGTTTTGAAATATTTTCATCATCAGTTAATCCATAAAAATTGTTCCGAGTAAGAATATTAAATAGAAAAATTAACATGTTTAAACTTACCATGTTGTGATACACACTCTATGTACAAAAGCTGATGCTGCCATTGCAATTACCATGGAAATGACAACTAAAAATATAAATATCCTTTTTAATTCCTAAATTATAAAATTGTATACAGGTATACCTTGAGTTACGTCATTCTCGATTATACATCGTTTGTCAAAAAAATTAAACCTCACTTTTATTTTTCCATATAAGTCATTTTATTTGACTTTACGTCTGTCCGCCACAAATATTGAAATTGTAATATCACTAGAAAAGTGTTAAAAGCACATAATATTTACTGTAAATGTACAGTGGTACCTCAGGATATGAAATTAATCCGTTCCGAAACTGAGATCGTATCATGAAAATGTCGTAAGGTGGATCATCTTTTCCCATACGATTACATGTAAAACCAAATAATTCGTTCCAACGCGAAAAACATACTCAAATTAAAGCCAAGTAATACATTAAAAAAAATAACTGTAGTAAGAAAAACAAATGAAAAATGCAAACTAATGTAACGTCGCATGGTGAGTTTTTGTTCGTGAGCAAAAATATGTTCGAATTTCATGTCGTATCCTGAAAATTTCGTATGCTGGGGCGTTCGTAACCTGAGGTACCACTGTATGTGTTTTAATATGATTTTAATATAATCATAAATCGTAGAGAACGAAATATGAAAACATCTGTGACTCTGTGTTATCATCTTATTAAATGGTCTTTAAAAGCTCAATATTGGCATTTTCCATGGTAGTCCTCAATAACTACTGTTTGGTGTCGTTGTCAGCACCACTTGTTATTGATAAATTTAACATAAATTAGTTTTTACTATCGCAAAATAATTTTAATAACTGTATTTGTTATTTAACCTTACAAAATCATCTTATTTTATAATGTCTTAGAGAAAACCACATTCACAAATAAAGAGTCTGCAATGTACTGTAAACATGTACAGTATGTATTCAATACATGTAAATATACATGTATTCATAAATTTAGATTACTTTTTTTCCTGTACTATATTAAAAATAAAATTTATTTGTTTGTAAGATTAAAATAGATTCTTATTAATCATACATTTATAAATAAAATACAGAACTGGGAATGGTTATTTGTGGTTTAGCCTAGTGACAAGTAAATTCGACTTAAGTCGCCTCTCCTGGAACCAATTACCAACGTAAGGCGAGGTATACCTGTAAATTGAATTTACATTATATAATGATATATACTTACCTTCAGGAAACAGTTTAGTTTGAAATGTTTTCCCAAACAAACTTGTTTCAAGATTACCAACAGCCTAAACTGGTTAAGGTCTTAAATTCATTCTTTTTTTAACTTAAAACTCATTATATTATATTTTAGAAAAGTTTATAGTTATACAAAGTTTAAAACAAGACACTAAAGTTTCACTGTTAATTTTATTATTTTATTTAAAACTTCAGATTTGAAGATATAAAAACAGTAAAGTGATAAAGTTTTGGTGAGAAAAAAGATCACAATTTGTCTCCACTGGAAACTTCCTAAATGGATAAAATAGTGTTGATTGGACTGATATTAACAAGTTCCCATGTAAGAAATTCCAAAATGAGGAAATTTTAACACACATCTTATGGTGTAAATGCTGGGACTAGAAAATTTGGACTTCTTATACAGGAATACCTTTCATGTGAAAGTTTTTAATTGGGTTCTAGTGTATATATATATATAAAATATACAACTAACCTGATAATTACTTCAAATGTTAAAACAAATAACCAGACTCCTTTACCAGGCTAATAGCCTGGTAAATAACCAGACTCCTTTACCAGGCTAATAGCCTGGTAAAGGAGTCTGGTTATTTGTTTTAACATTTGAAGTAATTATCAGGTTAGTTGTATATTTTATATATATATATACACTAGAACCCAATTAAAAACTTTCACATGAAAGGTATTCCTGTATAAGAAGTCCAAATTTTCTAGTCCCAGCATTTACACCATAAGATGTGTGTTAAAATTTCCTCATTTTGGAATTTCTTACATGGGAAGTTGTTAATATCAGTCCAATCAACACTATTTTATCCATTTAGGAAGTTTCCAGTGGAGACAAATTGTGATCTTTTTTCTCACCAAAACTTTATCACTTTACTGTTTTTATATCTTCAAATCTGAAGTTTTAAATAAAATAATAAAATTAACAGTGAAACTTTAGTGTCTTGTTTTAAACTTTGTATAACTATAAACTTTTCTAAAATATAATATAATGAGTTTTAAGTTAAAAAAAGAATGAATTTAAGACCTTAACCAGTTTAGGCTGTTGGTAATCTTGAAACAAGTTTGTTTGGGAAAACATTTCAAACTAAACTGTTTCCTGAAGGTAAGTATATATCATTATATAATGTAAATTCAATTTACAGGTATACCTCGCCTTACGTTGGTAATTGGTTCCAGGAGAGGCGACTTAAGTCGAATTTACTTGTCACTAGGCTAAACCACAAATAACCATTCCCAGTTCTGTATTTTATTTATAAATGTATGATTAATAAGAATCTATTTTAATCTTACAAACAAATAAATTTTATTTTTAATATAGTACAGGAAAAAAAGTAATCTAAATTTATGAATACATGTATATTTACATGTATTGAATACATACTGTACATGTTTACAGTACATTGCAGACTCTTTATTTGTGAATGTGGTTTTCTCTAAGACATTATAAAATAAGATGATTTTGTAAGGTTAAATAACAAATACAGTTATTAAAATTATTTTGCGATAGTAAAAACTAATTTATGTTAAATTTATCAATAACAAGTGGTGCTGACAACGACACCAAACAGTAGTTATTGAGNAGTAAATGTGAAAAATTGTAAAATAATATAGGCCTAATTTGTTATACATATGTATTATCTAAGATTTTATTAAACATTTTTTTCTAAATTATTGTTTTCTTTAGTCTCCGGCCCCAATTAAAAATTATTTGTATGTATTTATATGCAAAATTATACCCCGACTTACGCGGTTACCGCTTGGTCCCACCTATTGCGTAAGTTCGGGGTATTACTGTACGTACATCTACACCCTGTATGGCTTCCTTTCCAATATATTTGGGAACTTAACATTACTAATAAGTTAACAAAAGAAGAAAACACATTTTTACGCCACATATTTTAACATTACAATTAGATGGAAGAAAATGTTTACATAACTTATTAGGTGGGGTCAGGATGACCCCAAAGCAAAAAGTTTAAGCTTGTGTAAAAAATGTGGAACAACAGTGAAACACACATACATTCCAACGGCTCAAGGACAACTAACTTGAAGGTATCTTGAGTCTCAACCACTGGCACTGGCTGACAGACTAGTAGAAGCCAGTCAAGGTTTTACTGGGGTTGCAGTGCCCCCACCTCACGGGTTAAGGGTTAAATTTCAACTATAAAACGACATGTTAACATATTTATTCCTTTTATTACATTTGATAATTTGCCTATTCATATTATTTGAATGAATTATTTTCAAATATTTTAAACATATATCTTTTGAAAGATTTAGTTTTTTTTATATATGTATCTTAGAAAGTTGTATGAATCAATACATGTTATCTTTTAAGATACAGTAATACCCCGAACTTATGCAATAGGTGGGACCAAACAATAACCACATAAGTCGGGGTATAATTTCACAATTTGTATAAAATCCAAGTTGGATGTATGTAAGCTAATAAATGTTCTCGTTAATCTTTTCTCATCTTTTGATTCGTTCACAGTTACAAGAAATCACCACATAAGAGTCTCTTAAGTCTCCGTAGATATAACAAACACAGAAATAAATAACACAAAATAATCTTTGTGATTACTCAGGATTTATTTCTTCATAATTTGAAGTTTGGACTATTTACAAAAAGATTGTAACTATTATGCAAATAATGTAGATACTCGTAACTACCACTAGAGGGCCAGAAGCAGTTTAAAAGAATGGATAAAAATGATAGTGTGAAGAATTTCTTTGTGTTTTTAATTGTAAAAGTGTCAGAACCTACAGAGAAAGGCTGACACTTGATCTTTTTTAACCATTGTGATTTTTTACCAATTTTTACCTGTGTTTTAAGAAGAGTTCTTCAAAGCAGAAAATTTTTTGTGACTTACTTCTATGGTAGTGTAATAAGGATAAAGATGGATTCAAAAGTTAATTTTGACTTTTTGTAAATAGTCCAAACTTCAAATTATCAAAAAACACAAAATAAATTGTAGCTATGTGTCGATTCCGTGCGACACATCCGAACATGTAAGCTGAACAATAGTGTGGGGGGAGTGAGTAATCAAGAGTTGCGTGGGGCTCAAACAAAAGATGAATCGATGAGATTTGAAAATCACGTAACTCCGGGTTTGTGTAAGTCGAGGTATTACTGTATGTTGATTTATTAAATAACAAAGACAATAATAAAATTTCAAGATACAAAATAATCCATCTCCTTATGTGAATATGAAATTATTTCTAAAAATATTATAATCAAACAAATTTTCAATTATACAACAATATAATATTTAAATAACAAAAACTTAAAAGAGTAACTGTTGAATTATTATAAATTTCTCTACTTAAACAAAAAATAATTTATTTAAAAAATCACTAAGACTAGCTCAAACTTAAAATTGTGTGTGGTGCATGTTATGAGATTTTATTAAAAAGTAATTTTTATATTATTATTTATTATAAAATGGCCTAAAGCTTATTTTTAAGAGTAGGAGTATGTATGTTTTTAAAAAATTATAAATACTAACAACAAATAAAATTTTCATTAAGTCCAGTCCCACTCAAGATATGACACATGAACCCCCTCTATTTTGCTATCCCATGATCTTTAATTACCATTTTTAACTGCATCAATACATCATCTATAGAAATAACTCTTGCAAAGTTTCAAAATTTTTCTTTCCTTTCCTGAGATGTAATGTAAAACAAACAAATACTCAATTTTTAAGGGATTTTTTTTCTTTTTACATTTTTGGACTTGAATGTCAAAATATCAGGAAATACAAAAAACAGGAGGGTCAAAATTTGACTGATCACCATACTTTCCCTATTTATATTGTTTAACAACCAGGAAAGTAAAATTAAAACTAATTAAATAATCTTGAAAAAATCATTCAAAATTTTCAAGGATACAGTCAGCAGCAATATAAACAACAAAGATCCCAAATAACCACCAACAATGGTCATGAATTGGCTAGAAACAAGATGCGCTCTGTATACTTGCATAGCAGCAAACAGAAGAACAAACAGGGATAAGGAAAGAAGACATGATGTTCCACTAGACATAGCTACAAAAATAAAGAAATAAAATTGTTTTAAATTGATAAATTAAAATAAAATCTTATATATTTTTTTTT